CTCCCCTGTCAGTCTCTGTGTGTGACATCTGCTGTTTGCTGCTCATTTCCTGCAGAAGTGGGTGCTCTTCCCTTGCAGCAATGAAGTTGTGATGCCTTGTGCACGCTGGGGTGTTGGGCCTGGCTCTGCAGGTCTCCCTCCCCCCCAGATGCTGGCAATCTCCTCCACCCATCCTCAAGTTCAGCTTTTAATGGATTTTCTTTAGCACAGTGCAAGAGTGTTACTGCTCTTTGTTGAAGGAAGACATGATACTTCCACCCAACCCACACTGCGTTCACATCCACTCTTTGGTCTCCATAAACATTCAGTAAGTGTTGATGAATGTCAATGGGTGCCATTTTTTCTGCATGGAGGAAATTCAATTTCAGCCTTTATCTTCATATGTACTTCCATGTCAGATGTCGTTCTGTCATACTGCCCACCTGCTGCCATTTGTTATATGGCAACAAAATGTAACAGAATATAGGCTGGAAGGTACAGCCTCTGCTGCCATACCACTAACATCCACCTCTGATGCCATGGGTCAAGATCACAAAATAGGAGGCATTAGTTTCAGAGCAGCTCTTGTACAAGTGTCTCTTGTCTCCTCACTGAGGGTTACTGATCTGTAGCTACATAAGGAATAGCCTGGGTCTGCTAGTGGAAATGGGAACTGTAGGACAATCATAGAATCACAGAATGGCTTAGGTTGGAAGAGACCTTAAAGACCATCTAGTTTCAGCCCCCCTGCTGTGTGCTTGTTGCAGCACACCAGATCAGGCTGCCTAAGGCCATATCCAGCCTGGCCTTGAATGTCTTCAAGGAAGAGGCATCCATAACTTCTCGGCAACCTGTTCCAGTCCCTCACCACCCTCTGAGAAAATAATTTTTCCTAATATCTAGCCTAAATTTCCCCAATCCGTTCATCCTTGTCCCATCACTGTTAGACTGTGTAAAAAGTCTCCCTCCTTCCTGTTTATAAGCTCCCTTCAGATACTGAAAGACCATAATGAGGTGTGCCTGAAGCCTTCTCTTGTACAAGCTAAAGAAGCCCAGCTCCCTGAACTTTTCTTATCAGAGAGCTATTCCTTCCCTCTGATCATTTAATGGGCCTCCTCTGGACCCACTCTAACAGTTCCACATCTTTACTGTGCTGGGGACTCCAGGCCTGGATGCAGCACTCCAGATGGGGTTTCATGAGGGCAGAGCAAAGGGGGACAATCCCCTCCTTTGCCCTGCTGGCCACCCGTCTTTTGATGCAGCCCAAGATGCAGTTGCCCTTCTGGGCTGCAAGCACCTTGCACTTGGCCTATTGAACAATTAGGTTCTTGTGAGCCCAATTTTCAGTCCTGTCTAGGTCACTTTGGATAGCATCCCTTCCTTCTGTTGTGCCACCTGCACCACTCAGGTTGTCATCTGCAAACTTGCTGAGGGTGCACTCAATGCCACAGTCTGTCATTGATGAAGATGCTGAATAGCACTGGTCTCAAGATGAACCCCTGGGGGACAATACATCACTGGCCTCTACCTGGACATAGCACTATTGGCCACAACCCTCTGGCTTCAACCATCCAACTCTATCCACTGAACAGTCCACTTTCAAATCTGTATCTCTCCAGGTTAGATATAAGGATGTGGTGAGAGACCGTGCACAAGTCCACGTAGATGGCATCAGTTGCCCTTCCTTGGTTTACTGATCACTACATCACAGAAGGCCAGCAGACTGGACAGGCACCATCTACCCTTGAGGGAACTGTGCTGGCTGTCTCAGATCGTCACCTCTTCATCTTGCATGTGATGCAAGTGCTGTGCTGTTCATTTGAAGGTTATCAAAGAAGCTTGCAAATATGTGGTACTAGAAACAGGTAGAGGTGAGGGATTTGTTTAATGTCAGACTGCAGCTCAGGATCTCCCTAGGACCTGTCTGCTCCATGTACAGTGTTTTAGTTGTTCGGCCCTGAACTCATTGAATTCCTTGACTGTCCTGTGGGTGCTCCAATCACCATAGCTGGGGGCTCTAGATTAGGGTGCAGGGACAAAGCCACCAACGTGCCGCTATGGATCGTTTTTCAGCTGCCTGGTAGATATTATCTGTCAGTTATTTTAGCTGAAATCCTGTGGTTTGTGCACGTTCACCATTTGAGTCGTTCTCTAACCAGCTGTTCTCTTGCTGAGCAGGAGTGACAGAAGGACTGACTGCCAAAAGCTGGGTACACAGAAGTGATGGCTGTGGTCAGACCCCCTTATGGAAGCAGATGGGCAGCTTGGTAGAGAGATGCCTGTGGGAGTCACGACTGGTTGATCTTCCATCCTTGTATGTTTAACATTCAGGAAAAAAAAAAAAAAGAAAAAATTCAATTTAAAATGGCTCTTCTATCCTTTAAACTTAAAAGCAAACTAGAGGGGGGAGGGAGAACTGGCAGACACCCTTGAGGACTGAATACTTAAAATAACATCTTTTTTTAAAAAAAACTTGGTTTGCCAAAAACTTCTTGCACTGATGTTGGACAGGAAAACATTGCAAAATACCACATTCTGGTCAGACAGTAACATTGTTTCCTGCCCTGCTCAAATACAGTCCATGAAGTCCTGCTGCCTCAGTTCTTGGTTTTGCTTTTGTCCAACGTTTGCCTTCTCCACTGGGGTGGATTCTGACACTTCCTGCTGGTCTGGGGGGATTGCCTGAAACCACTCCAAGTCTGTAGACAGAACAGCTTAAATGCTTGCTTGCTGCTCTGGAGCTAAATCTCTATTCCCAGATGATATTCCCTGCAAGATCCCTCCCATTCACCTCCAGAAAACCAGCTGGCAGGTAAAAATCCAGCCAACTGGATTTGTAATCACCACATGGAAGCTGCAGGATAAATGCAAAAAGCTGTATCCTTCTGTTATTCTCCTAAAAGCATGGCTGAGCTCTAGAGTTCAGCTTGTCACAGATGATGAGGTTAATTCTGCAGGCAGATTGGGTCTGTTTGCCATAAATTGGTGCTGATTTCCGTACACCATTCAGAAATCCCAAGTCCGAGGAAGGCAGATCTGGAGCTCGCTGTGTTCAGAGCAGATGTACTTGCCTGGGGACCTGCACTGTCTGACTGATGGTGTGAACAACTATCTGCTAGAGAGCACCTATCTGAGCAACCTTCACTTCAACCATCATGTGCCCTCTAGACCTGCAAGAGCCAAAATCCTTCAAGCAGGTTGCAGAATTCTCCATGGGGAGCCATACAGTCCTTGTTTTTGCAGTAAAATGAAGCACATAACAGACTGAAGCACAGCAAGCCTTCCTGGACATGTCCTGGTGACCCTGCTGTCCCTGGTGTCCAGCTGGACACCTTCAGCAGGTGGTAATCACAGAATGGAAGGGACACACAAGGATCATTTAGCTCCATGCCATTCCTTTGGGTCCTATTGCTGTCATTAGAGAGCAGAGCTCATCACATGCCCCTCCGCTCCCCTGAGAAATGGCTCTAGGCTGCCATGAGGAGCTGCAGGCTGCCATGAGGCCTCCCCTCAGTCTCCTCCACACTGAACAAACCAAGGGACCTCAGCCTTTTCTCAGTCTTGATGTCCAGACAAATGATGTACAGCCTGCACCATGCTGCCCTAGTCCTGGTCACTCATTCAACTTCTTGCCAGTGGTTTCAGGCTGAACCATTGGGCTGCGAAGGAGAGAAGTTGAAGGAGGAGCCAAACTGCTGTCCTCACAGTGAGAATGGATGGCTTGTCCTTTTCCACTCCCAGGCCTGCATCTTCTCTCTGCAAAGCAGGCAGTAAATGAATTTTTCAGAACCAGACTTGGGGGTCTGCCCTCCCTGCTCCTCTGTGCTGTGCCCACATCTGCGTCCCTGCAGGCTGAGGCTGGGGGAGCTTTCTCCCTGTAGGTTTCTGTCATATGGTGCACATCAGTATGGTATGCTGTTTACTGTCTCGTCTGTTCCAAAAATGTTACACGGGGGGAAAGCTCTTGGCCAGGGCGATGTTGACTTTTCCAGATTCTGTTCCATTGGGGTTTCATTGCTTGCAACCATTAGCATGTTTTTTTCCTTTAAATCCAGGCCTCTGCAGCCTTAACTAGCTGACTGGGAACATAAGCTTGCTTGATATATGACAGTTTTGTTGGGGAAACGCAAGCAATGGATGTGGAGACTAGAGATGATTGGCAAAAGCATCTTTTTTTTGTGGAAAATTTTGGGAGTAAGTTTCATTCTCTCTTTTTACCTGAACCTAGATAAAATCTCAAAACTTCCCCTCCCAAAATACCCAAAAACATCCAAAGAAGAAATTACAGCTCCTTCCCGGTCTTCACTTTAAATAAAAGCCTAAGCTCTATTTATACCCTTTATTTAAACACGGATTTTATAAATACCCCAAAGTATTCCTGATGGTTCATTACATCAAAAATGTCAAAACAGACATTTTGAATTCTTGGTGTTTTTTTTTTTTGCTTGCTTGTTTGTTTTGGTTTTGGTTTTGTTTGTTTGTTTGTTTGGATGTGTGTGAATGTTTCACTAAGGTATTCCAGCACATTCATTTAATGGTGGTTTTGTTTAAAATAAGAGGTGTGTTTGCTGGTCTTTCTGGAGTGGCAGATCCACAGCAGGCTGAGAGCAGGGATCCACAGCAGCCCCCGTGGCCTCACGTATTTTGCAGCCATGACCCAGACTAAGGCAGGCCAGCCAGGTTCCTGCCTCTGCCCAGAGCTGTCTCCCTGTTATTTGCAAGTGAGTGCAAACCAGGGAACCACCTCAATCCTGTGATATCCCCTGCCTGTAATTCACACAAGGAAATCAAGTTAATGGCAGGCTTGTGAGAAATCCTACTCAATTTGGGTCTAAAATGAGAGCTATGGAAATGACTTGTCTGGGCAGACGTTCACCCTGGGTTGTGTAGTAGGCCTGCAGTGTTGTCGTGTTCACTACCTTTAATTTCAGGAGCTCAACACAAGTTCAGTGGAGCCCTACAGCTAGCTGTTCACTGGCTCTATCTTTAACAAAATGCTCTATTGATTTTGTGTTTTTTAGGTTACGGCAGTTCGCAAATCCTGCTCATGCATGGGGTGCTGAATGCTGGCAGGGCAGAGTGTAATTCCTGACATTGCTGGAAGGCTGGAAGAGAAGAAAAGTCCAAGGGAAGCCTGGCAGTGGAGTCACTGCTGGTTGCTCAACCCAGCCCATTGACATCATGTAACATAATGGTAAATAACGTGGGAGTCCACAGTTCAGTGAAAGGTTCCTGAGATAATGACAGCTCCAAGAACTACTGTTAGGCATGGAATGTGCTCACAGTGTTATGTTTGCTTATATTTGCTATTTAAAGTGCATACAGAGAGACACAGCTGGGCACTCTAACTCTCTTGGATGGAGGACCAGAGAGGTTTCTGTTCTGCAGAGCAAACCCTATGACTTCCTTGGAGAAGTCCTAGATCTTTTCCTGCCCACCTCTGAGCTGCAGGCTCCTGGATTCCCTTTTGGGGCATGCCCTTCCACCAACACAGGGGCCAGCATGGAGACTCCATCAAGCCAGGGGTGTTGTCTGCATGGGAGCAGCTGCTGCAGGTTCAATGCCAGTAGAAACCCAGATGAACTCAGATGAGCTTTGACACAGAAATGAGGTATCATAGGAGGACTACAAGCCATCAAAGGTCAATCTCTGTTTGCTGAGTCCAGTGTTGTCTGTTTCTATGCCTTGCTGGCAAAGAAAAAAAATCCAGCCTGATCCCGCAGAACACTCCCGGTGACCCCCAGTACTGCCTTGAGCTTCCTGAGCACCTCCTAGGGCATCTAGCACTGCTGAGATCACCCCAGTACTGACTAGAGGCTCCCAATGCTCCTTAGAGCTTCCCAGTGCCCTCCCAGTGCCCTCAGTACTGACTAGAGTCCCACGGAACCCTCCCAGGATAGCTGTGCATGCAGTGACAGAGCACCTGGCTGAATTGAGAAAGGAATAAACTCTTCTGACGCCCACCTGAAGTCGAGGAATTAGTCAGTAAGCTCCCACCTGCTGTGAAGAGCAGATTAGGAGCGTCTGCTGAGAACCCTCATTATCCTTTTTCACTGATCAAATGTGGCTGTCAGTTTTACACAGGTTTGTCATGGCAGACTCAATCAACTCTGGTATGTGGCAACTGTGCTTGTAGCAAAGGTGCAAAAGGACACCATCATGTTCCTGCTCCACAAGATGGACATATCTATGAGACTAAGTTTGCTTTAGAGATTAAATGCAGTGCCTGAAGTAGAAAAAGGTGACCTTGGAGGTCTTGTGTTTTTTACCCAATGTCTGAGCAGGCTGTGATTCGAGTTTGGACGGCTTTATAATAGAGAAAACCATCGCTATGTTTGTGTTTAAATTACTCATTATTCATTGTGATGGAAAGAAAGCAGCAAAGCTCTCTCGTCTCTCTTGAGCCAAGACAGGAGCTGTGATCCTGCTCTTCTCTGCAGCAGGAGAGTCTTTCTACTTCAGCGGTAAGATGCTTGTTTTCTCAGTAGAATCAAATAATGCAAAGCCACAGATAACAATGCAGAGGCTCTCTTGTTTTTGTTTTTCTTTCTGTTTTTTTTTTTTTTTTCCTCAGGTAGGAGCATTTCTCTCCGTCGCTTTTTACTTTCCCTACCTTCTTTCTTCTAACTCCAAATCTTTCTAAAATACATCAAACGTCTTCTTGATGACACATTTCTGAGCATAATTCTTACCTTTCTCATACAGGATTTTCTTCCTGGGTTTGTGAAGTACTCTTTGTTAGCATGAAATGCAGAAAAGCCAGATGGTTTGGCTGGAGTCCAATTACCTAAGAAACACAGCACTAAGACCCTATCAGAAGCTGTTTCCTCTAAAGATCACTCTTGACCTGCTTTGTTCTAAAAACCAGCTTAGACTCAGCATGGAGCTGTCAGTGCATACTTTCCCCCCATAATTAATCTACAAGAGTCGGCCTGAAATCAATATCTGTGACTTTGTGGCTCCTATCCCCCCCCCCCAAATATTGCTTCTCCACACGACTCTTCCTTCAAAGGGGTGTAGAATGATGTAAGCTGTTTTTCACCAGTAGTGCTGTGTGGAAGTTTTGATGGTATTTCTCTCTCCCTGGTCTGAAGCGCCTGGTTTGTCCAAGCTCTGGGATAGCTGGGTATGCTCTGATACTTCCCTGTGGCTTCAGAACTCCTATAGCTCCCATGGTTGTTCTGGCCACTGGGGACAGATGGGGAGTAAGGTGTGTGTTGCTGTGCACACATACTCTGGGACAAAGAAATGCACGTGGTCATGATCCCTCGTGATGAACCCAGAGAGGCAGCGCCCATGGCTCAGGCATGGGGAATGTGATTTTAAGCTGCTAAATGTCTTGCTCCAAGCCGAGTGCTCTGCTCTGCCAATTGATTTTTTGTATTGACATCAGAGCTGTTTTTTCCTTCTTGATCAAGGGAGATTGCGAGCTGTCAGGCTCAGTAGGAATCTGGTCCCCTTGACTCCTGCAGGGTGATGGCTGTGATTGCTGGCGGGTTGGGTCTGTGTCAGTGCCTTACTTCTAAGGTGTCCTTCTCTCTTCAGAGCTCTTACACTTGTTGTTGCCTTTTTTTTTTTTTTTTTTGGCCTGTCTGTGATTACTCTTGCGTAATTGTTCCATTAAAATGGATGTCAAAATAATTGGATGGTCCCTCAGCAGATGTAAAATTTACGGTCCGCCTGTGCCTTTGTGCTGAAGTTAGGATCTTGGATCTTAAAAATCCTTTTTCTCCTGGCAATGTGGGAGTTTCCCCTAAAGATGTGGAATGTTTACTGCATTCCAAAGGCAAGACATTATGCAGGCACGAGGCTCCTAACACCTACAATTTCTAAACTGCATGTGGCCTGTTTGGATTTCCTTGTGCTGAATTCACATGGAAACACAAACACATGTGGCATTTTTGTTACTTTTCTAGGAAATCACTGAGCGCAGCCCTGCAAAATAATACTTCCTACTGTTAGCTCCACTGAGCGTGGGGGAAGGTGCTGCCTTTGTGTCCCAGGCTGCGGGAGCCACATGCCAAGGCTTGTGAGTCATTCACCCTGAGTGTCTGGCTTTCCAGGAAGGCAAATCCCAATTTTAGAACTTATCAGAGACTGAAGAGCACCGTGGGGAAATAATAAAGGAAAGGTCATTGAACATTTATCAGAACTGGAGGTTTCCAATGGGAATCATGCCAGGAAATGCACGATTAGTGTAGGAATGGAATGTTGTTTCTGCATAAGGTATTGAAAAGGGGGAATTGACCTGAAGAAGTAGAGCACAGTGTATTTGTATTTTGTAACTTGTCCTTAGAAATAGCTGATGTGAATATATGTGAATATATGACCATGTATGTTAGTAGCATATTTCAGAAATATAGGTGCTAAATTATGTGATTAACTCTTGCTTGCAAAACTGCAATCATTTGTAAGTGTTCCAAATAGTGTAGGTGCAGTATTATGGACTAGAAAGCATATTGTAGGGCTGTTCTGTTTGGATAAGAGACCCTCAGCAAAAGAAAAACAGACTTAACAAACATCAAAGAAGCCAGGGCCTCTACATGAGGCTGGATTGCCTTGCTCTGTGGGTAGGTTGGGATGCAACAGGCAGCATCAAGATACTCCCCTCTATCCTCCTTCCAAGCTTATCTCCACGCAAGGACAAGCAGATGTGCAGAAACAGTGACTGAGTGCTGAATGAGCGAATGTGAGAAGTTAACTAATGAGTGCTATGTGCTTAGTTAGCCAGTATCCGTGTGTTTAGTTGAGCGTAGGGAAGATTGTGAACCTGAAGCACTCAGCCAATGAGGAGCCAGGGGAGAAAGAGATGAGCATCGAGTGATAGGGCATAAAAGATGGAGTGCTGTTTCCTGCATGCTCTTCTGCTTGCAGGAGGCCCAGCATTGCAATTGTGAATAAAATCTGCTTTATCAGAGACACCGTCCTGGTAAATTATTTGGATGTTTCCAACAATTAGAAATAGGAGAAACTGTGTTTTGTCAAGACAGCTGGAATAAAGCCAGGAGGATATGGAATGCTTTCAGCCTGCTTGTGGTGAAGCAAGCTGGCAAGGTGTGAGTAGAGGAGACTGGGGGGAAAATGTGAGAAATTAATAGCAGGTGTCTTGCTGTGTGTGCTTGACATCACTCTACAGCTATCAGGTGCCCAGTCGTCACCTGGGAGAAGTGAAGCAGAAGGGCATCTCTCTTGCCTCAGCTGCTGCCAGGTGGACATCAGCCCATGCTGATGTTCCTCAGTGCTTCATGACTGGCACTCGTGGTCCCTCATGCAGGCACACAGCAATGCAGTGCTGCACAGCGCGTGGAGAGACGTGCGAGTGAGGCACAAGTGGGACAGGACAGATTGCACTGGAGAGCTTCCCTCTCACTGGTGCCATCAGCCTGCTGCCTGTCTTGGGTGGGGGATGTCTTTTCCTTACCAGTTTTAGTTATTATGGCTGGAAAAATACCAGTTCTCAGGGAAAGCAGAGGTCCCTTGATTCCGTGGTGCATGTAGAGAGAACAAGAATGCTTTGCTTCAGTGTTGTACCTTAGTGCTGATGTATCCTCAGCTGGTTTGTTTGATTACTTGCATACAGTATATATGCAATATATTTTGGGCATACAGAGCAAAATGCATGTGTGCTAACAGCAGCTGCAGGACTCCACCTCAAGAATCATTCGGTTTCATCAGTGAAATCACACTGGAATGTGCTTCTCATCCAAATGTTAACCCCACTTAACCTGAAAAAAAGTCACACTCCAAGTCTGTCTCGTGTAAGAACAATTCCTTGACTGGTTTTTACTAACAGAGGGACCTAGGAGTTTTATTTATGTCTCTGCCATATCAACTGTTAGATGGAGAGTTAGAAGATTTAGCCATATTATGTTCATATCAGTTTGCAGGAAAAGACAGCTGAGTGGAAGAGAGACAATCTACTTCCCAAGAAATCCATTTCTGAAGAGCTGGTTAAGGATACACGTTTTGTACTGAACTCTTCATTCAAGTGTCTTTCTTGGCCTCTTCTATGCCTTGCAAGTTCATCAGAGCTCTTCTAATTGGGTCTCCTTTTCCTTGGTGAGCCCTAAGCCTCCTTCTATTAATGTTCAATTTTAGCACTATTGTCGTGCCTCCTTTAGCTGTTCTGCACTGTTGCATGCACAGAGATACCTCCTCACAAGAAAACTTAAAATGTCTGGCTCCTACTTTAGTCTTCCTACT